TTTTGAGATTTTGGGACAGTACTAATAGTGGAATAGGACCGAAATTTCAAACACCAACTTACCTTTTCATTTAGGATTTGCCTGTGGAACTTTCCTTTATATAACAACCTTCGAAGTTCTGCCGCACGAATTGCGAAAGGCTGGTAATCGAATTTCCAAGCTGTTTTGTTTATTTCTTGGTGTGTCACTTATTGCAGGTTACATGATCCTCTTTCCTGAAGCTGATTAATTTAATGATTTTGGCTTTCCTATTGCTTTATCCTATGCGCAAAGGTTGCAGTTATTAGTACCTCTTCCTTGGTATGCCGCCTTACTTTTCACTTTGTGCTGAAATCGGTGCTCAAATCGCAACTGTCAACCTATGCCCCACTTTTTCCTTTTTTGTTCATTGTTTTGTTTTAACTTGAACTATCTTATACCGTGATGTGCGTATCGTATTCTGCTTTTTGTGATGTTATAGTGACTTGAACGATTAGAATATCTCACACTTGGAAATGCAATTTGTAGTTTTTCTAGTCTTGTTATCTAACATAGCTCAGAACGGGTCACAGTGCTGTTTTTGGTGAACTATGGCTTACAGCTTTCGCAATAGTATACACTGGTAGAAGAATTACAGAGTTAAAAAATCCGTGTTCTAATTTCCGCTCCTCTATTGAGCTGATTTATCACACAATTTGCCGAGTCATCGTGCGTAATTCACTTTTCTGGCGTGAGGCGTTAGCTGAACGAGAATGCGCAAGACCGATTCATTCTTCAGAGCTATAAAGCTACTTGAACTGTTTGTCTTTTATGCGTCATTACTTCTTCCTCAAAACATCGTCGTTTTTGTTAAATCGATTGTTTTGTAAAAAAAAACGTCCTTTCTTTTATGAGAAGTGTGAGCTTCTTTTTTATTGGTACGATTCTCTCAGGATTATGGTGAAAACCACTTCTACAAGCAATCCTGTATTTCACTTGCAATTTAAATGGTACATAGTAGTCATTTCGTTTATTGCGTAATAACTTCGTACTAGTAGGAGCTTGCCAATGTGCAGTTAGGGTATTTTTGTTGCTGGCTTTCATCTACGCTAATTCACTATTACGATCCTTTTGAGTCAAATTGTTTATATTAGTGAATCTTCTGCCGGTGCTTCCATAATTGCTTTTTCGTTATGTGGTTGAGTGCTGAAGTTGTAAATAAATTTGAGGCATTCTCTCGCTGCTTTTGTAAATTGTCAGCAGGGTATTAATTGGGACCATAAATCTGTATGAGCCTCTGTGCGATTACATTCAGTTTAGAATACTGTTAATGTCAGACAAGTACTGTTAATTCAACACTTCTTGTGGAAGTGAGGCATTATATTTCATTTGACATTTACAGATTCTAGCCCAGGCAAATGTCCTGAACGGCCCCATTGAGCATGCTTTTTATTTCTATATTAGCATTTTTCGAGTGCGTGGGGGCCAGATGGTGTTATCGTCATTCGGTGAGATCGAGCACATTGAATCATAGATTTCATCAGATTTGAAGCCTGTCAATTTTATGCTCAGGTGGGCTATGTTTGCGGTCGCAAGGTATATCTCCTTCATGCGTTACTGTCTGTCAGCTTATATTCGATTGCTTTTTCATTAGTAACATTTTTATGTTTGGGTTGTTCGAGTTGGGGTTTGATTCTCTTTTTTGCAAAGAATGTGCGAATTACGTTTTACCAAGTCGGACTCAACCGTCTATGTGCATATTATTGTTCCAGGCATTCAACTGTTCTCCGTTTTAGTAGAAGGTAGGAGGGGCTAACAGAACGGAGCTCATCCTTTTTTTGGAACTATGATTAAGTGGAACAGACAAATAGATATGAGGAAAATATGGCTCTCATGTTTCATTTGTATGTTAGTATTCTTTTTTCTCTTGGAATGCCAGTACATTTGGTAGCGGCTGTCATTAATGAAGGTTGACACTCACATTCTCAAGCACGTCAAGCTTTTTATTCGTAGTCACAGAAACCGCATTACAGTAAACCTCTTCTGCTGTCGTTATCTAATGTTAAAGTGGAAGGAGATGCTCAATCTCTTTGCCACAGAGCCGTTCACCACGATTATAGAAGAGAACTAGGTTGTTGCCTCCTATGGCGTCCACCGTTATTATCAAGCGATTCTATTTTTATTTCAATTTATTCTCTCGTGTTACTCAACTAATTCAGGTTGCTTTTTCCTTTCTTTCTTGTCTATTAGCACTCGAACTTTCCTTTCTTCTTTTTTTTGTTCAAGTTTGAATTTTTAGTATTGTGGATTGTATGTTTCTCGAGGACAAGTAGTTCTTTTCGATGCTCCTCCTGGATGTATTTTTCATGTAACCATCGATGAGCTGTTGATGGAAACGTTTAGAAGCCGTGACGGGTACAGTTTTATAGAATCTTGTTGACCATTCGTGAACAACAGTACTCGTTTAGCTGGCAGCTCGAAACATCATGTTCACTGACGCGAGCAAAAGCTATCCGTCGCCAGAACACGATGGGTCACTCCCTTTTCGATCTTGGTCTTCAATTTAGACTTTCTGTGGATATCGCTGGAGGTCGTCTCAAAACCGTTAGCTTTCGTGTCACCGATCCGACTGTTGAGTTGTCGAGCGGTAAGTGGGAAGCTGCGTGTATGTATATGAATATGAACTTACACGTATTTCATGCAAAATATTACCAGTACACTGCCTGTGTGATTGCAAAAGTGACTTGAGCTAGCATGGATTCGAATTCTCGTTTTGCTCGGGGTGATCCGGTTGTTCTTTACGATAGTTGCTTTTAGGTGTGTTCGACGAACTTGAAGAGCATGGAGACTCCTTCAAGTTGTCTGGAAATGCCGTTGACAATGCGGAAAACTTATCAAATGGCAAGGAGCTCTTCTCGATCGAACATCTTTCGGATTTATGCATTGAAACCAACAATTGTCTTCTGAAATATAATAATTTATCAGGTGGAGAGAGGTGAGTCAAATTGTCTTTCATCCAAGTTATTTTTCATCTGGATTTTTTCAGTCGAATGTTAACGATAGCATTACGAGGACTGTCGGTCACCAAAGATAGCGGGAAGACTCAAACACGTGTAGTGGGGTTGTCAGTTGAAGATCAGCGCCAGCGACTAGCTTTACGGACAAGTCTTCTCGTTCTATCACATGAGGTTTGTACGTTTGTATTTCCTTGTCTTAATAGCCTCTTCCAAATTAGACGATATCGCAATCGGCAGTACTCTGGCTTCCTGGCAGTGGGGCATCTCGCTGCGAGTTTGCTGATTGTGGCGCAGTCTTCATCAAATGAATGCTTGAGAAGTAATGGAGAAAGGAGAATTATTCCTCAATTTTCAGAAACGGGTCACAGGAGTGTTTGTGCAAGTTATTTCGGATAGTGTTCAGACTTCTCTTTCTATGCAGGATGTCGCATTTTGGAAACTTCACGTTGATTCTGTTCTTCCTGTGATAAGGAAAATTGTAGTACGTTCCTTTGTGGTTTCGATGTTACTACTGTTTCCATCTTGACGTCAACGATTTATGGAAAAAGAACATATTCAGGGGCAGTCACCACCAGTTGCTCCTTCGACACCACCTCGTATTCCTGTCACATTCTCTGTAGAAGTGGCGTCTATTTTTTGTGATCTCGTGGATGCCGATGCATTCCAGTCATCTTTATCTGTGCAATTTTTTGAGTATCACAAAAGTAAGTTGAAACAAAAAATTCAATCTCCAATAATGACCCGCTTTCTCGTCTTCACCAGTGGATGCGATTCAACCACGGTTTGTCCTTGACGTCAGTTTCATATTTATCGGTAGGAATTCCCTTGCATGCAGTGTTCATGGGAGTGATATTTCACTCAGTTTGACAATAGCGCAATAAAACACCATGTGATGAATCACTGAAAAGCGTCCTAATATCACGATGCGCTAAATGTTATAAGAGTTTGTCATTTCCTCATCACGCTGATAACATTAATAAATTTTCATCGTGATCGGGAAAAATGTCAGGTTACGATTCCCACGTAACATAACCGACCTCTGTTATCCCGTCGAATTTGCAAGCCTATTTCCAAGGAGAGAGATGTCTTGACGGTGGAACTCTCGACATTCGGAAATAAATACAGCAGAAAGCACTAAGCGCTGCAAAGGGTTTCATCATATAATCTTTCGGAAGGAACCTCCCCCCCCGGCTTTATTTCTTCAATATTTATTGCTGTCTTGAGAAAGAAAGGGTAACGAGGTTCTTCTGCCCGACCCCGCCTTCATCTACATGCTCGAATTTTTCATCCGCGCTGAGCTTGGAAAGGTCAGCAATTGATTTGCTCAGAATAAACGCAACAAAGGTGCACCGCCCTACTACACGGCCAGCGCTTACAAGGAAGGTCTTTCAGGACATGGAGCGTTTCCTAAAAAGGGTGTTTTGCTTGTTGCAGAGAATTATGTGAGGAACATAGAGCCGTGATCCATTTTTCCTGAACGCCCCTAGGAACGTCAAAACAGTGGTGAACAGATGGTCCAAGGTTCGGTCCCCGGTGATGCTAATTAACCGTTGGCGCCTCCAAGTTGCCTCCAAATGGCGCCGTTGCCGAGAAGAGATGTCACTGTCGCGTTTTACGGCAATTTGGAGGCGCCAACGTAAATTGCAAAAATTAGTCATCACCGGGGATCGAACTCTGGACCATTTCTTCACCACTGTTTTGACATTCCTAGGGGCGTTCAGGAAAATGGATCATGGTTCTGTGTTCCTCGCATGAGCCTCTACAAGTATGCAGGAAACCATTTCGAAAAAGCGCTCCATGTCCTGAAAGACCTTTCTTGTTAGATAACAAAACAATGGAGGCTTCTAAAAGTAATGAAGATGCAACCCTTGTAATCGACTTAGAAAACCAACAATTCTTTGAATTATTAATCTTTTTTAAGTGGTTCTCGATATTTCTAGGAAGAACATATGCTGGAAGTAGGAGTAGATTGTCTTTGCATTGCGGGTCCTAGCATACGGCTGGTAGATGCAACCTTCGAACGCCATCAGTGGGGACAGTCGGTAAGTCTTGGTGAAATATGCCTTTTTTCTTTGCAAGATTTCTTCAGATAGGATTGTTTATAGGTTTACATTGGAGCTGCGCTTGTGCAGCAAAACTTGAAGGAACCGGACCTGCTCATTGGGATTGATGATTGTAAGATCGAATGGAGCGACAAGCTGGCTAGCCAAGTACTTTTTCTTATTCTCAGTTCAACCCTTAGCGCTCGCATGATTTCTGTGCTTTATTTATGTTTCTCTAGTTGAAAAAACTCGCAACTGTATTTTCTACTAACAATGCTGGTGCCACTACCGCGTCCGTTACCAGACGTACTCTAAATGTTAGGCTACAGTTAAAGAGGTTTTTACTTTCTTCATCATCGTTTTTTTTTCTCCCAGTTGGATAACTCTCCTGGTATCGGATTTTCAGGGCCGCGTTGTTTTCTCTGGCAAAGGAAACATCGTATCTTGCTTGGCTATGCGATGAATTAGCGGCAGAAAGTTCTTCGTCGTGTGATTTAGTGGTGTCGGCGCAGAAGACTCGTTTAGTGGTACGGTGTTTGCGTTTCGATTTCCTTTTTTCATTTTATCCTATACATAATTTGCAGTCCGGAGTGATTCGTGACACCTTCATCGACCTCGTCGTGCTCTATAGTGTAAAGAAATTCGTTCCACCTCCACCAGAAAAGGATGCTTATCCACCTTGGCGTTGCTGGAATCAGTCGGAAAATGATGCGTAAGTATTGCTTCTCGAGAGGGTTGTAACATTCTTGCTGCGAGTAGGTGTATCTCACTTTCAGACGTAAAAGTCGGCGACGCACCGCTCTCGGTGAAAACAACATGAAGCAGCCGCAGTTGGTGAGCATGCGTTGTTTTCTTTTGGCGTTGCCTGGTTTTCTTTTGCGTTTGAAATGCTATCGTATTTATTGGTGTTGAGCTCGAGAGATATGTCTCTGTGTGTCCATTTGAGACTGAACACATCTGTTGTAACGTGGACGTTTTTGTTCGGGTCCGAGCTGTACCTTGTTGGATCGTCTTGTTTACCGTGTGGTTTATCACATGATTCAAGTTGTGAAGAGGTGAGTAGATCTAGCAAAATACGGTTTTTTTTATATTATCCTTTCGTTTAATGTTATGTGTGTAATTGAGTACGGGTTCATTTTCTGAATTTTCAATTTGTTCCAGCACATTTGTTTGAATCGACAGGCCAGCCCAGTGCACCAGTAAGAGATCCAAACCGACTCAGGTACAGTAATGTTAAAATATCCCTGTCGCTTAGTGGATGGGGAGTTGGCTGTCCTCACAGGGGTGTGCCGCTATACAGTGGGAGTTATTTTTGGGATAACTGAAGGTGTGATGTAGTATCTTCATATTTTCATGGTTTTTTTGCTTTGAATCTCAGTCGAACCGTTTTCCGATAATAGACATGTTGCAATGATCCAGCTCTGAGGTCATTCTGATAAGCTATGGGAGCCGGAAAGGACAGCGATGTTACAAATCCTCCATAACCCAAGCTATTTTGGTGGAGTTATTGAATAATTTCCTATTTAGGGTCGTATGGCTTATCCCGTCGCTAACGTTTGATTACTCGCCAGCGGGTCTTACGGCAGTTTCACCGCAGTTAACTATCAACATGGATGGAGCTGATATTGTTACCGCTATTGTGAGTTTCTTGTTTTGGTTCAATTATTTCATTTCTTAGTTGTCTATCCTCCGAACTCAGCTGTTCGTGCATTCTTTGCTTGTTAGATGGTTTCATTTTTGCATGCGCATCCTCTTGATCATTTTTAGGATGTCTACATTACACGGCGCCCTTTTGATGTTCAAATGGATAGTTTTCGAAGAGGATTTCGACAACTGCACAACACCTTCCAATAAAGTACTGTTCTTGTCTGACGATGCCTTGTCAATGTGTCGTTGATCTTTTGTCGATGTTCAGCCTTCATTTGCAGGTATGGACCTGGACCGCAGCATCGTTTCTGTTCTACCTTCCGTACGAGTTCAATTTTGCGCAGGTTTTTGACGAGGTATATCCATATAATGATCAATATTGTATATTCTCGAGTGCCTCTACCTTCAGTTCATCAACTGTATCAAGTGGATCAAATTAGTGCATGGACTGAAGTCAACACCATTTAGACCTGGTGGTCCATTACCAGCCGACTTCCGCTTAGTGTTCAAGGTTTGTAAACATGCAGCTGTTGTAGCAGAGGGCGTGGTACGCTGGGGGAGGCTTTGTTGAATATTTAGGAGCTCGAATGGAGCGGGAGACCGAGTTCTTTGAGAACGATTGGGATGGTCGACTGGAGCTCAAGAGACGAGGATTTTTGAGAATTAGTTCACGTTTGACATCAGCAAGAATTAGCGTGTTGACTTATGTCAAGGCGCGCGCGTTTGAGGCTTGAAATCTAATTGTTCTAGACTTCGTATGTTGGAGCCAGATTAGGTTTATGAGTGCGAGCGGGAGCGGCAAATGCTTAAGTGCCGATTTCTTACCTCCGTAAGGCAGGATCCTCTCATACCGGTGAGTCCGCCCCAGAAAAAATGGACCCGTTCCTTTTTATATGGAAGTGTTAGTCTCTCAATTTTCAACGAGACCAGAATCGATGAGCTTTTCGCTATGCTCCTGGAGAAGAACAGCGCTATCTATAGTTGAACGAGTTGGAACAAAGCAGGAAATGCAAAGAGGTTGTTTCCACATTGTACCGAATGACAGCTCACTTATTTCTACAAGATGCTTTAGGCCACTGTTTGTATCGAATGGGTGGACTGGGATTTACGCGCTTTTGCTGACGAAACATTCCATGGAACCGGATAAATGCGTGGATTTCATTTCACGAATTCGATCCATTGAGGTGGGTTTGCCCCTGTGGTTGGAATTGGGGTAGCCATTTTCATGAAAAACTATCAATTACTTATATATTCAGTGCTTATCCAGTCGGTGGACTGCAGTTTTCTACACTGTGGGGGCGAGCGGTTGAGCTTGACATGGGAGAGTGGTCCGTAAATTTCAAGGATTATCCCATCCCATACTTGCTTGCAAGGATATGCATTTCTTCGGTCTTCTTGTGGGCGCTGAAGAGATTGAAGGTTTGTTCAGTTCAACGAATTCTTTTTTCCACATGTGGCGCCATTTTCGCTTAAACGTTACTGTTATGCAGAAGTGGTGGTATTCGTTGAATGTGAGAGGAATTGCCGGCGCCCATGGGGCGTCACCGTGGGCGGACATGGCACATTGAAGTGTATTATGATATGCAATGCGGTTTAGCATTTATCACGTGGCTTCGTTCGAATGCGAGGCATGGTGCTTCCTGGGGTGGTTGTTTTATTTGCTTTTGTCTAGCAGTGAAACATGAATCAAAAAAGGTGACTACAGAAAGCGCGGGATTCTTCTGCGAGGTATGGACCGTGCTGGGAGCCGCTGATTTGTCATGATCAGTCTATGTGGAATAATATAAGTGCTCCGTCGAAAGATCCATCAGTACCGCTGCCTTTCTGGGATAAAATGCGCTTCCTACTTCATGGGCGCTACTCGTGGCTGAGTTCAAAGGTATGGAGTTCTAGGGTCGCTGTCGATGTTTTATTGAAGAAGCTCTGATTCACAGGTGCGTTACGGACGATGTTAGCATCCATGATCTTATAACCAGCAGAATGTGGAGTTGTGCTGGGGACGACTTTGGGCTCGAGCTGGGCGCGGGTGAGTTTTGGCGTTTTTGTTTTTTTTTGAAGTATTATGGCATCGCCAATTAGCCGGTACCTAGATAGGGCGTTTTTGGCATTGGTTAATACACTTTCAGGTGACTGCGAATAGAAAGGGAGGAAGAGGGTGGGGGAAGGGGTAAGATGATTGTGGCATAACTGCTGAACGCGAAGGTGTATGTTGTGACATGCAAAATTAGGGTTCTTTCAGGTTGCCGCTGGTGGAACCATCACTCAAGTCCTGTATGAGTGCCACACTTGGCGATTTGAGCGACTGGAATCAGTTTGCAGCCACATGTCGGGGTCCCTGAAGAAGCACTTCGCAAGCGCGCTCTATACTTTCAACGCCGTACTCAAGGTTCAGGGTCGAACATGGTCTGATAGAAAGTACCCTCTTTTTCCGACATCCCTGCCATTGTCTTGATTCATAGGACAACAACTCCCGCAAATTTCAAAAAAAATGCGTCCAAATGCAGCTCTTCCCTCCTCCCTCTCTGCAAAACGCAACTTCACTATGCATGTCTGCCTCTGTCAAGACCATTCCGAAATTGGCTTATTTGCCTTCATTTCCGGGGATTTCATTCAGTGTCGTTGTTGTAAGACTTTCAAAATGAAGGGGAATAAATTTGAAGCTCGTATTTTAGGTGAAATACGCATTCGATCCGGTTTACGGGTATTCATGCGCACAGCATCTCGGTACGATGACTCTCGCATCCTCTTCTTGCCCGATCTTCGACTTCGTGTAGTATTAGGTGAGAATCTCAAGATACCTTCTTCATCTTCCTGCTATTTAGCTGCTTGTTTATTGGGTTTATTGCGATTGCATATTGCCCCAGCTAATGGCTGCCTATTTGCAGACTGGATTTGCACTGGTGATCCTCATGATCATCATGCAGTGACGCTCTGTGCGCCACATCGTTTGCCACATTCTTTCCTGGTACGTTCAAATCTATAAATTTATGTCGAGGTTGGTTTGGGCTACCAGAAATTCTAGAATTTTTGATGGATGTGTCATCTTATATATTTTCTCCATAGATGGAATTTGCTACCTAGATTCGACCAGATTTGTGTATGTTTTGAGCTCACTATTTACAGGATCACGATTCGTTCCGTGCTTTTCGGTCTTCCTCACTCGATCTGTCGTTCTCTTTTGACGTGGCCGCCGGTGCTGAAAATGGTGAAACTGGAGATCGTATCCCACACGTTCTTCTCTATGCAAATACATTTCGTTGCATCGAATTTCTTCTCGTAAGTTGTCACTTCTCACGCTTATCTGCTCATTTTTACTCCTGCATGGTTATTGAACAAGGATCTAAGGTTGTGACTAATCTTGAGACACGGATTTAGGTCACTTAGGCGATCCTCGCGAATGGTAACCTAAGGGAAGGTGCTCGTTGCTAATGAGTGGGCTAGTATGATGCCTTGAAACAAACGCTAATACACATTAGGAATGGTTCAGTGGCAAGGAGGGCTTGTAGACAGGAACCACGCATAGCCAGGTGGCTGTGCCCACCATTATTTGAGCATGTGACTGGCTCTAGAGTGGCCAAGAAGGTGGATTTAACCTAAGGTTGACGGGGAAATTCTTGAACAGGTGCACCTCCAGCGCGTCTTCGGCTTATTCAGATGCGCTATACCTCCAAAACCTCCGATCATTTCTCCCTTTGCTTTTATTATCTGCCAATGACATAAAACTTGTCCTAATGGAATTTTCTTCATTTCAGCTGCTCATAGTGGTCTATGGGCTCTTTTCATACAATTAGCCTTTGTTTAAGATCGAATCTGAAGTTATTATTTGCAGAATACGTTGACAATGAAAAATCGAAATGTACGAAAGGGTCGGCTATTTGGAACTCCGCCCTACCCCAAACCGCAACTCGGAAAGCATTTTCGGTAAAAGATATTTCCGTATGTGACATACACAGCTGCGTTGCATATT